AAAAAAAAAAAAAAAAAAAAAAAAAAAAAAAAAAAAAAAAAAAAAAACGTGTATTGCGGGACCGTTACTGATGAAGCAACAGGTGTAGATGTCACATATTCAGTGCGAACATCTTGATGACGTCTGGTTGGATGTCGAAAACAAAAGACCTAGGTGTGATGGATCGACCAGTGTTCACGTATCCATCAGAGGTCAGACAATAATTGCCCACGAAGGTCGCAGATCAGCATCCGCTATTATACCCGATCGTTTTTACAATCATTTATTTAAGAGGCTGATATTTCGAATAAGAAAAACACATTTTTCTTTATTTATTGTGTTTCTGCTCACAATACTGAATAAATAAAATATCTACCTGTCTGACCCATCTACCTAATAGCCAACATTTTAATTGCTAAAAATGACGTTGGGCAAAAGGAAAATACTAGTAGATGCCAAAAATTCCAATCATCAACTGGTGTGCACTGAAATACCTTGACAGTCCTCCGCTCCTATATAATGCTACCACGAATTTAAGTGTTGACATTGCAGTAAGGAGACCATGAAGTGTATCAAGGCCAACTAACAGCTGTGAAAATCCCATAAATTAAGCCCACGATTTTGCTGAAGTGGGAGGAGGGGGGGTAGCAAGGATGAGAAATATAAAACAGTAGATAGGAATGCGTTTACTTTGTTATGTAAAGAACATGGATGGAAGAATTGCTTGGCTTTGTCTCTTATTAGCTTCCTATACAACGTTCTGAAGGGTGAAAGGAGAACCTTCTTAACTAGGGAAGGGGGGGGGGGGGGGCAAGGCGGGTCACGTGGATCGCTGTGCCTCCCCTCTAAATCCATCATTGCTGACGTTGTAATTCGCTTTATTTGCCGTAAGTCCGTATACAGGTTATGGTATGGAGAAACTGGCGAACCGTATGTTACCATTTCTGTTATTAAAATATGCTCTTTAAAAAACTATTATACTATGCTTAGTTATATATTATATTATATTATATTATATTATATTATATTATATTATATTATATTATATTATATTATATTATATTATATTATATAAAGTAAAGTGTACAACAGGAAATTGATAAATAAAAGATTGAAAAATATAATCAACGCCTGGTGAAATGTAATGAATGTTAAAAATATCACAATTATTTCAGAAAATCAAGTATCCGAAAGCTATGTCCATGTGCCCGGACAGACCCCCTTCAGTCATGCCTCTTTCCCTGACCAATTGGACGGGCAGGCACAGAAACACCCGGACCGCGAAGCTTTAGTTTTCTGGGAAACTGCCGCCAGAAGACGATCGTTGTCATTTGGGCAGTGGCGCGAGAAATCGCTACACCTGGCGGCGGTGTTCTTGCGGCTTTCAATACGGTCACAGGAGCGCCGTGCCCTCCTGGTTGCTCCTAACTCTCTGGACTATGTTGTCGTCGTGATGGCTCTGGCACGATTAGGCGTTAACGTCATTCTACTGAAGTATGGTACCACTTCGCAGGAGATTGATGAAACCATGAAAAAATATCGCTGCAACGCGTTGATCTATCAACTAAGCGCTGGCCAAGAAGACCCGTATCAATTGCGTCAGGATTCAACAGACCCTGCGTCACACGAGCAGCACGTGATCTTCATCACCCTAGGTGACGTCACAAGCAGCAGCCACGAAGTGCACCGCTACTGTGACCTCACGCGGTGTGAGGTGAGTGAGGAGGAGAAGGCAAGGGTACTGGCGCTCCAAACCGAGATTCAGATGGAAGATGCTCTGCTGGCATTCATGACGTCAGGGAGCACGGGGAATCCTAAAGCGGTCCAGGCCAATCACTTCCAGTTTGTACAGGCAACTCTAACAGCGTACGCTGCTCACAGACTGACAGACAGTAGTAGGTCAGTGTAGCCAAAACTGAAGTCTATATAGTAAAAAGACGCTTATTTTACAATACTAAAATCTTAAGCAAGTGTCCATGGGGAAAAGAAAATTAAAACCATAGTTTGTTAAAAAAGAAAAAAAAAATTGCGAAGAACTCCTTTGAGTCGATCATCTTTAACGCAATCAGTTTTCCATTTACTGAGTTTTGCGCTATACGGTGATATCTGGTTATCTTTAAAGTTAATACACCCCCATACTGAATAGCAAGTGAAAACTATGTATTAATAAGCACGTGTTTTATAACAAGTGGATTTTATGTTTCCAAACCAATCCCGCTTAAAAGCCTTGTAATCCTCTACCAATCCCCAAACCGAAAGAGATTTTATTTTTGATTCTTTATTTGAATAACAAGAGAAATATCTCTTATCACAGATTATTCAACAATCGCCCATTTTCTTGGGTGGGCGCTATGGGAATGGCCATTAATGTTGCAGCAGTTTGTGGCGTCACCCACATCACTATTGACTCCAGGGCGTCAGCGAAAGACTCTGAAGTCGACGCAGTGATAAATGTGATAGCGGAAGAGAAATGTACGCATGCGTACCTGTCGCCGTACATTTTGTACGATTTAGTGACGTCTACCGGTGACGTCACACGGCACGATCTGCGTGCTCTGCGGTACGTACTGAGTGGCGGAGAGCCTCTTCCAGAATCTCTCCCCGCTAGAATGTTCACTAAGATCCCACACGTGACCTTTGTTCAGCTATACGGGTCCACGGAGAGTATGCTAGCCCTTTCCCAAGCTAGCTCCCCACAGGACTTGCACGACGGGCTGTTCGGGTGGATGTTCGGCTGTCCTCATGTAGAAATCAAGGTGTCAGCCGAAGACGGGCGTCTGGTGCCGATAGGAGAGGTTGGAGAAGTCTGTGTTAGAGGTCCTATGGTGTTCCCGGGGTATCTGAATGAACCAAGCAAAACGGCGCTGGCGATCACTCCCAGCCGGTGGTACGTTACTGGGGACCTGGGCGTTATGGGCGCTGGAGGTCGCGTTCGAATTGTGGGTCGGGATTCAGAGAAGATGTTCATTAAGCACGCTACAGTTAAAGTCTTCCCGGCAGAGATAGAGCTCACCCTTTCTCGTAATCCTGCTATTCGGCAAGTCTGCGTCGTTGGAATTCGCGATGAGCGTCTGTTTGAAGAGATTTGTGCCTGTGTTGTCCCCGCCGGTGAAGACAGCGCCGAGGCAACAACCGAAGAGGATTTTCTGAGTGCATTGCATTCTTGGTGCTCAGAAAGATTCCCGCCGGGACCAGACGGCTTTTCTTTGGCCCCAAAGTATTTCCTGGTCGTTGGTGAAATCCCAAAATTGAGCACAGGAAAGATTGACCGTGCGGCCGTCAAGAGACAGGCAACATCGGTATTCAACCCGTAGAAAACACTTTTAAGTGTTAAAAAAAAGCAGTTTGAACATTGAACCTAGCCGTCGCAGGTCGCATTCACAACAGATGATCCGCAGACAAACTGGTCCGTAGATCAAAAATGGCCGGTCACACTTGAAAGCGATGCTGCTTAATCCCATAATGGTCTCCCGGCCTACCACACGCGAGAAGCCTGCAGAAACCGTTCTGAAAGCGGCCTAAGACAAGATGTTCAAAAACACGGACAGTGCCTTTCCCAAAGTTGGCTTATGTCGGACAATATATTACTCATACTGTCAAGTTGAAATATTTGAGGATTAACGGAAAGTGAAGTAAACTGAGCAAAAAAAAAAAAAAAAAAAAAAAGTTCTCCCCAATCTGGTCAGTTGTTATTTGTTTGTAATTATATAAAATAAGACGAAAATTATTATGCCTAGTTAAAACATGGTCTGAGAAGGCTTTTTTAATCCACACCGAACTGAAATATTTTCTATCAGCTGGACATAAATGGACTATATCTATAGTGGGAGCTAAAACTTTCGTGTAGTTTTGGAAAAGTTAGCAACAATTTTTTTAAACAAAAATAAAGGCAGAAGTGTAAATACACAACCAGAAACTTTCATCCTTCATACATAAATTTATTTTCCTGTTTCCTGCACTGCTAATCAGTGCACTCAGTTCCAGTATATCACTTAGACCAAGCAATGTTAAGTGAAAGAAATCTTCTATACACTCACTTTTTTTACCTCAGTTTAAGTTAAAATCCAAGCTTAATTTGCCTTGTGAGCCATGTTACAGCCAATATCCTAGGTGAGATTATGAATACGGTAGCACAAAATGCACTTACATAACTTATCAAAATCACTGCATGCTATATGTAGTGTCCACCTTTAATATAAATACATATAAATGTTCCAAAATGCTCAATAAACTATCAGTGCTCATATCCACAAAGCAAACTGCTTCAAACAAATATAATAAAAGATACCAACAGCATTACATATCGTTGTCCATAAACAGGTGTACAAAATGCCCAATGCTTCTGATGCCATTTCACAGTGCCTGCTTCGTTTTTGCTCCTGGTTCATAAAAGAAAAAAATAAATAAATAAAAATAAATAAATAAATAAAAATAAAATGAAAAAAAAAAGCCACAACTCTTTTCACTGAAAAACTGACAGCCCATGGTGACCAGTACTGGTTTGCTAAATTAATGAGAATAATGGACATCTTTCACACACAAAATAAAAATAAATAAATAAATAAATAAATAAATAAATAAATAAACTCTTTTCACAGAAATACTACTGGATGTACCTAAGATGAAGTAGGGTAATAACTCGATCTTTTCAATAGGGGAATTTGTGAATTTTAATGATTCTATATTTTAATGATTTCTGTATCTGAAAGTTTTACAATTTTTGCCCAATGGAAAGATCGAGTAAAAACCCTATATGGTAATTAATATTTTCAGTTCTAAAGTAAAGACCTCCGCTTCCTTTCAATGGACCTTAGTTCCTTCATAAACTATGTATCACTTCCATGCTTGAATGTATTAAAAGATGGCAACTAATTTCCACTAAAAAATATGTGCGTACAATAAAATTGCATGCTAAAATGTCTCAGTATAGTAAGGTCCTCCCATCCACTGCTGCACTTTATTTTCAACACAGTCTTTTTCAGTGCACTTTAAGAGATTTCCTTTTTAACTTCCTTTCTATAACATTAGAGAGCCACCTAAACCAAGACCCCACTGTTCACATGGTCAACTGACTGAACAGTAGGAAGCAAACTCGCAAAGAACATGTGCAAGAGAGTATCTACATGTAATAATCTCACAATGTGGACAAATACAGACTCAAGTCAAATATATTGTAAAGTATTATGTATACTCTTCAATTCTAAAAGGGACAGAGAAAAGTAGGTTACACTTTTTCTCTCTGCTACTACATTTTCCACTCGAGATTAAAGAATCGTTGGCGACAATGCAATCTTCAGAACCTCTCACTATAGGCCTTCCTCAAATGACATAAAGTAAAGATCACCATAATAAAACAAGCCAATAGGCCAAAAAAGATGAAATATCTTTTAAAAAGAGAAATATAATGAGAATATCTAACCATTTTATGCCAAATACATGGAAGGAATATTATGGAAGTGCATGCCCCTAAACGGTCTTAATTGTGCTGTTGCCTAATTCAGTGGCATCAATCTATTGGTTCAAAATACTCCATTATTTTGTTAAAATTTTCCATATCTTTTTAGATTCATTCATTTTAATCATGGTTTATAGACAACACGAGGCAAAATGAAAAATAATTTTTGAGGGAGGGCTAAAAATAAGAATAAGTCATCTATGCATTTAAACAATGGGAGCACTAACTTTGAATAGTTTTAATTGGAGTTAAAAATCCATGGTAAGGAATCTAAAAACAACCAACTCTGAAAAATGTGTTAAAAGGGTATGTTAAATGAATACACAAATGCAACCATAAATGCTTAATTCCACATATAAAAAGCTGAGTAAACCTATACATATATATTATGTCAATATTGTAATTACTCATAATTAGCGAACATTTACCTTACTCTAAATATGTTAGCATTTTGATAAACAATTCTGTAGAATACAAAATTTAAAAATAAATAAATAAAATAAAATAAAAATTGACATAAACAGAATTCCAATGTTAGAACTCCAATGTATTTCTTGCAACTATTTTAAGAACTGCAAATAAAGTTTCATTCCGAAAATTAATATAAAAGTGCCTACTTTTTCATGCAATTTTCCACATAATTACCAAAATCAAACACGTGTGTCATCAGCAGGAGAACCCGTGTAAAATATATGGTCTCCCCTGTCCACATATGCTACCATATTACCTTCCTATATCATGATTCTTCTGAACATTTAGAGATTTCAACATTGCACTTGCACCAAAAGATAATTCTACTCAATACCAAATCAGACATTATCTCACTCCTCTGGTAATATAAATGTGTTTTTGAAGACACAAAAACATAACACACACACAAACAATGGAAGCTAAACCTACTTCCAGTATATCACTTGCAAAGCTGTGCAGATAACTAATGACAGACAGTGACCTTTGACTTAAGGTCAACAGTTTTGGCAAAACATATGGTCATCATGCATCAACAAAGGCATATGCTAAATGTTTTGACCATGAAATTTGGCTTCCGTAAATGCTAACAAATTTCACCAACCTGAACCATTACATATGTGGTTCCATAAAAATGCTGGAACTTTTTTTTCCAATAACATTCTCAAGAGCAGTTAAAAATATTATGGCATCAATTTTGCATGGAAATCCAGGCTGTCACAACGAAGCCATTCCCAACTTAATTCAGTAATCGCAAAACTGAGGAATTGCGAAGGACATAAATTAAGTAAACAGGGACTTTCCACTTGGCCCAGGGATGGTGACGCCACCAAACCTATCCACCAAATAAGCCACCAGGACAATGGCGCCAATAGAAATGCCAGTACAAACAAAGGACAGGAGAGATGATTTCGCATTCCTCTTGAACTTGGCTGGTCCGAATAAGCTCAAAAACGCTGTGCATGCAGTAAACGTGTACAGTATGGCCACGGATGTGTTAATGGCTACAATTTCTCCAAATTTGGCAAAGGGTTGTATGGTGGTTTGGGTGAGCGGGATGGCCGCCACGATTGTGGTGACGGCACTGCTGAAGATGGAGGATCCAATATGGCTGACTGCTACCTTGGCTCGCCACTGTCGCAGACTTTTGGTATTCTGTAATATGACAATAATGCCCTGTCACAACATATTTCAGAGTGAAGCATCAAGAATGAAACACTAATTGAACAAGTATGTAATGGCATGTAAAAATCAATCAAGACACTCTGAAGTGTTTAGGGAATGGAACGAAAAATTCTACTGATTTGAAAGTTTTGAATTCCTCTTGGTAACATAGACGAATCTAGCCTTCTACCAAAGTCCATTCTCTATTAAACATATACACACATAACCCATCAAAATAACTTACACATGGGAAAAATCCAACCATAAATATATGCATACCTCTCTTATATTGTGTGGTGGGTGGATACCAGCCAGCAGATATCCTTCCACCAAATGGACACAGTAGTCCACTGAGGAGCCCACCAGGATGGACAGAGAGACTGCCTCCACTGCCCCCAGCTCCCATCCAGACAGGTAAAACACAGAGACCACAAGGAGAATAACACCTGGAATAATACAGAAACACAGAGACTTATTATTATATAGAGACACTGCCTCCACTGATCCCAGGGAGAGGAGGGGAGGCACAGAAGGTGTGTGCTCTCATCTTAACTTCTATGGTTGTTTTTTTTTTTTTTTTTTTTACTCCCTCACCCCCTCCAAAGAGGTGCATAAAATGAGAGGCTTCAATTCCGTCTAAGAGTCTACAAGACATTACAGTGGTTTGTTTAATGAATCGCACAAATCAATATAATTTTCTTGAGGATAGCAAATGAACTGCCTTAATAAGTTTATTTTTTCATTTATTCTGAATGCTTACAAAAAGAAATTCACTAATTTAGAAACCATTAACCAGCTTACCAGATATAGTAAGACAAATGATGAGAAGCAAAAGAACATGTCCCGTGAAAACGGCCACCGCAGCAATACATATCAACATGGACAGAACCAGACCATAGATGGCGCTCCCAACTGCAACACGTTCCATGAATACCTAAAACCAAAAGTTTGTGTGACTTTCAACACTTAAAAGATCTCTTTGGAAATTGCATTAAAGGAGAGAGGGGAAGTTGTGTTAGTAGAGAAAGGGCACAAAACCCAAATCCCTATGACAAGGAAAAACACATGCCCTTCTTGTTGAAATTGGACATTTGGAAAATTATTTTAGTCAAAATACATTCCAATTAGACTGAATGAAATATGTTACTTGCTAGTTTGATACGGCTTTATTATGTCATGAAAAAAACTTAACAATATCCTTAAAAATAGAACTTAACCTTTTTTTTGCATTTTTCCTTCCCATTCCTCAGATCAATTTTTTAAAACTTATTTAGAAAGTTATTTTGGTTCTGTGTTGCACAATCAAAAATGGAAGATGCTTCAATCCAACCATTTACCTACTCTCTCTTAAATTCAGTTGCTTCTATGCAATTCACCAAACAAAGATGTCCAATTTTTAAGTCAGTAAAATGGACTCACCTTGGTCCAAAATTCGGACGTCTGATACATGTTTTTCAGTGGAGAGTCTTTGGGAAGAACTGATGTCTTGATGTGATTGATGAACTTCTCCCATTTCTCGTATTGTTTGTATGCTCCATAGTAAGACTGGCCTTT